TGTTGTTGTTGTTATTAGGTGTATTGGTATGCTGGCAGGTGGTGTAGCTGCCAAAACAGGCATTTTATGTCAAAATTAAACCCCAAAAAACCGACCAAAGTTGGTCGGTTTTAATAAAAAAAATAAATTATTCCAAAATACCGACCAAAGTTGGTCGGTTAATGAATATTGAATTCCCAGAATTCAACATTACCGACCAACTTTGGTCGGTATTTTGCCTGCACTGTTGAGATTACCGACCATAGTTGGTCGGTAATGTTTAATTTTAATTATTTTAAAAAAATATATATTTTCAATTACCGACCAAAGTTGGTCATTTTTTTTTAATTTTAATAATTAATAAAAAAATATAATTTAGTTAAACCGACCAACTTTGGTCGGTAAAATTAAATTAATAAAAGATATTTTCGACCAAAGTTGGTCGGTAAGTAATTAAACTTGTCAGATGGTCGTTTTAAGCTACCGACCAAAGTTGGTCGGAACTCCGACCAACTTTGGTCGGTAAAATTAAATTAATAAAAGATATTTTCGACCAAAGTTGGTCGGTAAGTAATTAAACTTGTCAGATGGTCGTTTTAAGCTACCGACCAAAGTTGGTCGGATTTCCGACCAACTTTGGTCGGTAAGCCATTCCGACCATCAAACTACCGTCCACACCGTAATGATCGCGTTTTGGTCGGTAATTGGCCATAACCGACCAACTTTGGTCGGTTATTTTGATCGGTTTTTAGTGAATTTCTAGTAGTGAAACTAGAATTTCAAATAAATAAATAAGGTTGGTAATTGAAAAGTCCTGAAATTTTATGACTTTTCTATATATGCTGCTTACAAAACGTATATTCACTTCTTCCGATTAGTGTGACACTTTTTCATTTGAGTCGTCTCAAGAATGATATCTTTTTACGTGTAATAACAATTTAGTTCAAACTTTTTATTTTATCCTAAATAAGATAATTTATAGCTATAAAAATATTTATATTTTTCTTTTTCTCACTTAAACTTAGTAACCAATCAAACAATCTCATATTATTTGGGACGGAGGGAGTATTATAAATTCTGAATAATCGGAAAAGAGTTGCATAACCGATCCCAAAGCCTATAAGGAAAAAGGAGAAGAAACAGCTTCAAACCTAAAGGAATGAGGATGATTTTGACTTATATCGTTGCATCACTAGTTATACAACAAGTGGCCATATTTCAGTAGTATAGCTTTACAGAGAAAAACTCTTTAGGTATTTGTAATTCAATTGACCGTAATGTTTGTTTTGGTTGTTATTTAAGTAAATTTTATTGTACCGTATTATAAAATATGTTGTTATGTAATAATAAAAAATATCATTTTATGTAACGATCAATTTGACATGATCGCGTTGTTATCTTATTTTTTTTTTATCTGTCCTTATTTATTATGTAATAATCTCATTTTATCATTTACCCTACCTTTTTTTTATACAGCAATGTATACTACTTTTCTTTGTAATATTGCGAACTTATTCTTCAGATTGTTGTATGGCACTATAAAATAATATGAAACAATACAATCTATTCAAACATAGTAATCATCAAAACAGTATGATACTTTGGTTGTTCACTGGCTGAAAGAAATGCATCATAATTTCCATGCCAGAGTTTCAATGAGCTTAGTAGATCCTCTGTTTTAAAAGGCGTTTCTGGGGAGAGCCCTAGGGCGAGGCGTACCAAAAATGCCCCGGGGCGATGGTGTGGGGCGAAAGTCTCAAGTGGCATACGCCCCGCCCGGGCGTACGCCCGGGCATTGGCGTTCGGGACGCGTTTTTTTAGTAAGGAGTAAGCCCTAGAGACTTTTTCAAATTAAAATAAAATTTGTTGAATTAGTCTTTCATATAATACACAAATTCTCAAAAATCAGTTTGGTAATTACTCAAAAGGTTTAAAAAGGAACTCAAAAGTATTAAAATTAAAAGTAAAGACCTTTTTTTTTTATTGATTTAAGCCATAATTCATGGTTTTTCCAATTTTTTATCTTGTCCGCTAGTGTGCTAATATCTCCCAAAAGCAACGAATATTT